AATCAATGGGACTTTGTTTCCAACTTTGAAAACGTTTTGCTTCCCATCCAGGAAGCTTTTTCAATTCAAACTGTCAGAAATAGCGTTAAGCTCGATGCTCTTATACAGTAGCCCAACTAAGCCTTTAGAAAATGGGTCGTTTGGCTTCTTTTGTTAGCCTGCAAAGCCCCATACCTGTCTGTCTCTGAAAGGGGGGTCATTAAAGGGGATAGTTGGCCTTCCTGAATAGGCGAGGTCTTTTGTTCCCCAGTAAAGGGGTTAGGGGTTGCGATGATAGCGGGAAGGAAGAGATTCTATCGCTGCATTGTAGTTTTTTGAAAGCTGAAATCTGAGTCCACCCCCTCCGTTTGATGTTAACTCTTAAGGGCTGGTTATCCTCCTGCAGCAGTTTGTCGCAGGTTTGACGCCAATGTTTTTTGATTCATGCCCAATTTTTAAGCGTGGTCTGCGCTACGTTATTCTACGCCACAACGCCAGAGGGACAATAACGAACTAGTTAGCCGTCTACCAAACGTCATGCAACGCTGTACGACACAGTTCACCCATAAGTGTTCCCCAAAGACTGGCCATGGCACTGCGTGTTTTGACTTTGGGTGCAAACCAACAGACCGTCGCTCAGAGCTACAAGCTAGCATCCTGTACGGTGTCTGGGATAGAGTCTAAGGTGTGCCAGGCGTTGTGGAAAGACACCACAGCCAGAGTTTGTGCCATTAGGCACAAACTCTGGCTGTGCATCATACATTTTTTAACCCAGTTGACTAGGGGTCTAAACAATAGTTTTGTATCGATGCATCGATACGTCTGCAAGAGTATTGATGCATGTTTTTTTTTTCCTCCAGTCTGTTTTTATCGTAATTCTCCCTCCCATGCTGCGGTGGCGCTAAACCTATTTTGCCTTCCTGGTTATACTCTTACAGCAGTGTGTTGCAGTGAGCTTGACGCAGACATTTTTGATTTATGCTCAGTATTGAAGCGTGGTCTGTGCTACACGCTGTGGGTCTCGTTGTGGGAATCGTTGGGTCAGGAAATCGATACTGAATCGGATCACCATGATGGGTGTGATTTACACCCCTACAGTTGACGCAGATCCTTACAGCGAAGCAACCATGTTTTATTCTCTGGTGTTAAGATAAGGGTCTAGACCAGAGATCGGCAACCCGCGGCTCCAGAGCCGCATGTGGGTCTTTAGAGCCCCACCTTGCGGCTCCTTGGAGCTTTTTTAAAAATGTATGAAAAATGTATTTAGGTTTGTTTATTTTAATATTGTGTGCAGGAGGTAGAACATTTGTATAAATACATTTAAACAATATATGTAAACATTTATTTAAACGAAAATGTGCGTCATAGCTATAGAGATCAGTGGTCAAAGCCTGCAGCACGTCTCAGCGCGGCGCCAGGCAAAGAAAACGGAGGGTGTGTCTCCATGGATCCCAAAGGGAAAAAAAGGATCTTAGCTGATGAGAACAGAGGATTCAAATAAGAATGGAGTGAATCATTTGGTCTCATTATCAATGCGGAAGGATTGCCTGCATTTTGCTTTGGCACGAGAATATGTCAAAT